CACTTTGGGCTTCCCCAAGTTTTGGAGACTCGTGAGTGGCATGTCGCCTTGAGGCCTGGAAGCCACGTGGAGACAGTCCCCTTCTGTGGGGCAGGGTCTCTCGCAAATGACGTCATGGGTCTCACCTGGCACCTCGCTACGACCTGGGGATAAGACGGCTCCCGATGCTCTCGAGCTGCTGTAAGAACGTCTCGGGGACTCCTCGTGCGCGGTCCTGGCGCCGCCCTGCTGGCGAGCTGGGGCTGTGCTCCACCGCAGTCCCGGGCTCTGAACAGCCGTCAGCCCCGGGCCTCGCCCCGGGCGGGCGAGAGCAGTTGCCCTTCGTCTTACAAGCAGCGAGGAGCGGAATCAGTCTGCCTGGGCTATCGACAGGGGACGCCACAGGCTTAAACAACAGGGATTTATTTCTCCCGGCTCTGCAGGCTTGAGACCCAAAACCAAGGTGCCGGAAGGGGTGGCTCCTGGGGAGACCTTGCTTCTGGCTCGTAGATGGCCACCTTCTCATCGTGTCCTCACGTGGCCCTTCCCCTGTGCAAGGGTGGGGGCAGGGGCTTGGGAGAGAGCGAGGGGGGTCCTGCGTCTCTTCTGCTTCTAAGGACAGCAGTCCTATGTGATGATGGCCCCCCCGTATGACCTCATTAATCTGATTACTCATTAAAGTCCTGTTTCCAAGAGCAGTCACACTCGGCCATAGGGCTTTGCCATATGAACGGGGAGGAGTTTAGTCCATAACAGGAGCCGCCCGTTACGTTTGTAAATATTTCACATCTTAACACCTTTTCACGCACAGTCAATGCTCGGCTCTGTTAGCACAAGACCAACACCCGGAGCAGCTGGATACCTCAGCCGAGGTGGCCTGGGAAGCCAGGCCCTTCTCCTCTGACACGCTGGAAACGGCCCAAGGGCTTGGCAGCGTTTGTCTGAGGTGCAGCAGAGTCGCTTGGCCAGGGGAGGGGGAGACACGGGCTTGGTAGGAACTTAAAGCAGGAGCATCGTCCGAGTACCGTGGTCGAAGAACAGTGATGCAAAGGAGAAAGACAGGCCCCAGCTTGGCGGCTCCCGGCCGGCCGAACCTGGGCCAGCGGATGAATCAGAACGAGTACTGGCAGTAACGCGTGATAGCCCACTGAACAAACAAAACCGGAGTCCCTGCTGACGCCAGCCAGCGAGTGAATCCAGCTGACCCTTGAACAAGGCGGAGGTCAGGGGCCCAACACCCTACGCAGTTAAAAATCCATGTGTAACTTCTGACTCCCCAAAAACCTAAAAACAGTTATTAATGGTGCCCATGCGAGATTGGTTACAGGACCCTTGCAGATACCAATATCCTCAGACGATCCGGTCTTTCATATAACATGGCGTAGAACATGCATAAGGTCAGCGCTCCTCATGCATGGGTTCCCCCCCACAGAAATACTGGTTTCAGTCCCCAGTTGGTTGGATCTGCAGGTGTGGAACCTGGGCATATGGAGGGTCAACCGTATATTTATTGAAAAAATTTGCTTCCAGGTGGACCCACGCTGTTCAAACCTGTGTCGTTCAAGAATCAATGTACGTTGAAGGCTCGAGGAACAATTTTGCATACTTCCAAAGTATGTTCCCACAATTTCAAAATGAAAAAGTATAAGTTGCCCTGGCTGGGTGGTTCAGTTGGTCGGAATGTTGTCTCATACACCAAGAAAAGTTGCACGTTCAGTCCCTGGTCGGGGCACATGCCTAGGTTGCGTGTTTGATTTCCAGTTGGAGTCCATATGGGAAGCAACTGATCTATGTTTCTCTCATCAAAGTTGCTCTCTTTCCTTCCTTCCATTTCTCTCTAAAATCAATAAACATATCTTTGGGCAGGTTTGTTTTTTTTAAATATAGCTTTAGAGTGGAAAAACTTGGCAAACACCACCTTAATGATGTGGGAAAAAGATCAGTAACAGGACAAATTGAAGCCCTGTGCCACCTGATAGGAAACGAGAACGCAGCACGTGTTCCAGAGCGTCCGTGCCCAGGAATAATACCTGAGTGTCACGAGGAAACATGACACAAGCCCAGACTGAAGGACATCCTAAGACATGAGAACTATATGCAACATGTTCTCAATTGGATCCCTTTGCAATAAAGGACATTATTGGTAACTTGAATCGAGTGTCTCGATTAGGTGGCAGTCGCTGTCAACGTTAACTTCCTGACTTTGATGGTTCGTAAGACAATGTCCTGGCTTATAGGACCTACAGAGTTCCCCGGGGTAGTGGGGGTCATGTGGGCCACTGACACTCAAGGGGGTCAGGAAGATGTGTGTACTCACAACCTTTCTGTTGTCAGGGTTTTTCTTTTAAGTAAATAATGAAAACAGGCCTATGAAAAGATGCTCAACATCACTTTGGCAAATGCAAATGAGAGTCGCCATGAAGACCCACTTCACACCGACTACAATGATTAAAATTTCAACAGTGAAAAACACAGAAAACATGTTAGTGAGGATGTAAAAAATTGGAACCCTAATATGTTGCTGGAGGGAAGGTAAAATGCTTCAAAACAGGTGCTCGAACAAACACAGATAGAGTCATGCTCACAGCAGCCTGTCCACCACAACCGACGGTGGAAACAGCCCAAGTGTCCACGAGGGGATGAATGGGGTAAAAAAGTGTGGTATATCCAAATAACGGAATACTATCCAGCCATAACGAGAGATGAAGTACTGACACATGCTGCAAAGTAGATGAACCCCCAAAGCATTAGCTAAATGAAACAAGCCAAACACGAAGGGTCGCCCGCTGTGAATCCATTTCTACGGCAGTTCCAAACAGGCAACTCCGTGGAGACGGCCGGCAGGCTGGCGGCTGCCCCGGCCCGGGTGGAGGGGCGGAGTTGCGCTCGTTTGCACCGACGGAAACGTCACGCGGCCGCGTGGGCGTGGTGTTCGCACAGCGCTGCGTCTGCGCCGCCGATCGTTCCCTTCAGAATGATTTAGTTTATGCCGCGTCAATGTCACTTCAATACGTTTTTTAATTCAAGCGTTTCAACGTATATTTTGTACTTTAAAAAAGGAAACGATTAGCGGTGACATGCAGCGGCCGGCAGCGGGCGTCTGTGGAAGCGGGGCCCGGAGCGCGCGGCCGCCTCGTCTTAGGGGGACAGCTTGGTCCGTCTGCGGAGACAGCTCCTTCCCGGCGGGACAGGGCCAGGCTGGCGTCGGCAGCCCCCGTCGGAGAGGAGCGCCCGGGAGGGGCCCGGCGCGGGCGGGCGAGGTGCCTGACCGGCTGCGGACGCGATGAAAGGGCCTGGCTGGGGGGACGGAGGACTGGCAGGACCGCGTTCTCGGGCGCCGGGCGCAGGGCCCGCTGAGTCGTGTGGGCGTTTTGGCTTCACCGCGTGTGCTGCACGGCGCACGCAGTTTGGGTAGATCGCAGGCAGGCCTGTCTGTACACAGTCTCGGGAGACCGATGTTTTCCTGAGAGCAGGCGCCACGTTCTCAGGGGTCTTACAAAGGACAAAACGCGCGTGCTCTTTGTAGAGACGGGCACAGACTTGTAGTCACGATCTTGGGTTCCTCGCGATACTGGGTCAAATGGTGACCCCCCCCCCCCCAATTCTGCCTGCCTGGGGCTTCCAATGCTCGTGCCCGGAAATAGTCCCTTTGCAGGTGTTCTTAGTTAGGGAGGCCACACTGGACAGGGCAGGCATCGAAGCCAGCGGCCGGGGTCCCTAGAGGGAGGGGAGAGGGCGCGGAGACGCAGGGAAGGGGGTGGAGGCAGAGCCCGCAGCGAGGCGCCGGCCAGCCAAGGCGCCTGGCCAGGCTGATGTCTTGACGGTTTTGGGCCACTGGCTTATGGTCATTTGTCACAGCAACCCTGGGAATCCGGTCCACTGGCCCAGGCACATCGCCGCCAGCGGCCTTCCCCGACCATGTGCAGCGAACTGGCACGGGCGCAGCAGGCTTGGCCGCCACCGTTTTCTCCGCAGCGTGGTCCAAGTTGGAGTGGGGGTCGCTGTGCCCCTGCAGAGGGGACCTCGAGGACATGCTCCCTCTGTGAACATGGAGCAAGTGGGCTGCACCTCATTCTCTGCCGCTCCCCTCAGGGGTCTGGACACCCATCTCCATCCCAGAGTGACTGTGAGAAAGGGCAAAGTTTTGTCGCATGAGGTAAAATGCCACTTTGTGCCCCCTTATACATGCAGAGAGCCCACACCCTCCGCTGCCACAGTGGTTATGACTTGGGGGGAATTGGGGTCTCCCGCCCTGTTAGAGCCCTTGTTCGAAGCTCGTGTAACCCACGTTATCGGGGGGAACACTCCAAAATGTCCAGTGTGTGAAGTCTTTGTGACCATTCAAACCAGTTTATCTTAAAACTGGGGAGGAGGGGTGGTCAGTGAATGGTGGTTCTAACATTAGGAGAACCTGTCCCCAACTTTTGTGCCCAAAACCGTGCCGTCCTGGGGGCCACCCCTCAAGCAGGACTCCAGGTGGCCCCGTCCCGGGGGTCGACTTGCTGCAGGGGGAGCTGGGCTGTCACCTCTCTGTAGGGTGTCCCCAGTTTTAAAGAACCCGTAAAGCCCTCTAACAGAACCCCCCTTGTAAGAGCCCTGGGGTCAGTCGGGCTGTTTCTAACATGTAAGCACAGTGTGCGTCGGTGAGTTACCCAGAGCTGTTTCTGAGGCAAGGTGCTGTATCTGGTCTCTACTTTCTTTTCTCTAATTGTCTCTTTCTTCTCATTTTCAACAATGGACATATCTTTTCATAAGAAGGAAAAAACGCCGGTTCCTGTTTGGCGGCATCGGGCTGTCGCGGGGTGGCGAGCGGGAGGGGCTGCGGGTCGGGGCGGCCTCTGTGGCGGGGCCGGGCGGCTGGGGCCCTGCCTTCCTGCCTCTTGCTCACCTGTGCTCTGGTAGCAGCGTCCGCAGGCCTCTGGGGACAGCAGCTGAGCGTGAGGAGGGGCACGGTGGGCGGGGGCCGTCTGCGGGACACTGCGCCCCTGGGCACCCGCGCTCATCTCTGGTTGTGATTGCAGAGCCGCAGGGCCGGAGCCCTGAACCAGCCTCTCTTCCGACTCGTCAGCAGCTGCTGCCACCAGCCTGTCCCCTGCCCGGGGTGCCACCGTGCCGCCTCCCAGCAGGTAAGGAAGAGCGAGTCCCGTGTGAGGGCGGCGCCCCCTGGAGAGCAGGTGCCTCTCCAGCAGTGACGGGCGGGCCTGGGGTGGGGCGGGCGTCAGGACCCTCGCGGTGGCCGGCTGCTCCCAGCGCGCTTCCCTCTCCCAGCACTTGTCTTCGCCCCCACGACCCGCCCCCGCCAACCCCAGCGCAGGGGCGGCCCTTACAGAACCTCACAAGTCCCCTCACAAACCCCTGTTGTGCCCCCAGTTGGGCCGGCGGGGGAGGGGAAGCGAGCCATCGTGGTGGGTGCAGGGCTGGCCGGGGTCCCAAGCTCGGCGCCCCCCTGAACAAAAGAGCTATTCCCTGTTCCAAGCGGGGAGCCGGCCAGCACCCCACCTCCCCCTTTCGCCTAAGCTGGTCGGTCCCTTCAGGCCCGGGAGGGGCGGGTCCGTGCTCACTGGCAGAAGCTGTCCCTCATCCCTGAGGCATCTCGCAGGGACGCAGACTGCGGCCCTTCTGCCAGACAAGGCATAGGGACAGCCCGCGGAGAGGAGCCCTGTTAGGGCGGGCGGCTGAGAAGGCACAACAGCGTCCACTCACCCAGAAACTCCAGCCACTGCGTCCAAATGCAGTCAGGGAGCAGCCCGGGGGTGGACCCACCCCGCCTGCTGCCCCAGCTGTTGCCGAGTTGTGCATAAGGGACAGCCCGTCAGAACCTCCCATGGGACCTGCCCATGAGTGAAGGACTCGGGGCGCCCAGGACAAGGAGCTGTCCGACCCCGGGTGACAGGGCCTGTCCCCCAAGCAGGGGCTCGCTCCCCCTCTGCCTCTGCTGCTAAACGCTCATGAGTCAACGGAGGGGTCCAGCGGCGGCCAGGGCACACGGTCAGCTCCGCTCTGTCTCCACGACAACCCCGCTCCCGGCCTTCCTTCTGGGGTCAACGTGGGGTGTAGATGCTCACACTCAGAGGGACACAGTTACCAGGTCGCGCTGGCACTTGGTGCCTGGATGGCCTCGGAGGGCAGGAGTGGTCCTCAGGTGGGGCTGAGGGGCACCCGGCCAGGTGGTCGGGGGCTCGGGGACCTTCCCCTGGGGGTCACATCTGTAAAAGCCTCGGTGGTCTTTAGCTCCGGTTGGCAAATCCATTTCCTCCTCTCCTGCCAGCTATGCCGCCGGGCGGCCCTGCCTGCCCTGGGCGCGGGGGCCCTGCCGCCCCTTCCGAGCCGGGCAAGGCGAGGCTCACTCGAGGGCGGGCCTGTCCAAGCAGAGCAGCGTGGACCAGATGTGGGGGTAGAATGTGGGGGCAGACCCCTGTTTCTGCCCTGAAGGCCGCACTGCATGAGGAGGGTGGCCAGGCCAGGAGGGGCGTTGGGTTCAGCTACTGAACCTCCCTGAACATGTTCCTGCACTTGAAACCGAGGGCGTTGGGCCTGGCCTCGGAGTGCCCCTCCTGGTGTCACGTCGCGGGGTTTGGAGCCGGCCGTTCAGCGTGGGCCGCAGACCAGCAGCAACTGGGACCAGTTAGAAATGCAGCCTCGGGACAGGACCGGCCCCCAGCCTCCCAGCCGGAATGAGCCTGTCATCGAGGTCCCCAGGAAAATTCAGAAAGGACTGATCTTGAGAGCCCTGCAGATGCCGGGAGGCTGTGCCAGGGGATTGGGTGACACGAGGGCACCCCAGCCGCGTGGGCCTCCACCTCCGCACCTGCCGGAGTCGGCCCAGCGGCTTGACGTGCAGACGCCTGCGCTGCGGGTCTCGGGCCAGGTCCCTGCACATGTGCTGCGAGGACCCATACACATGGAGAGAGAGTGTGACCACACATGACGCAGCATGCGGTCACTGCCGGCCACAAGAGCAACATCTGTAAACGGGTCCGCGGGCTGAGGGGCAGCAAGCGGGTGAGTGGGCCGGCTCTCTGCAACCTGTGCCGGACCTGCCTCCTGGCGGGTGCTCCACGTGGCCGCAGTTAGCGCGGTCGGGCCCTTCCGGGGCCCCTCTAGTTTCCGCTCCATCTCCCTCCTGGGCAGGAGTGGGGACTGGGGGCAGGAGGGCTTTCTGCTTTGTTGTTGGTGGTGGTTTTAAGGTGAAGAAGGTCTAAATGTGCTGAGGAGAAGGCACCAGGAGCAAGGACGTCATGGGGAAAGCGGGGTGAGGGGCAGAGCCGTCAGGAGGGGCAGCACCCGTGTGGAGAATGGGCTCTGGGCAGGGAACTTCCAGCAACACCAACCCACCGCGTGGCCTGGCTGCCAGGAACATATTCTCGCAGGCTGGAGCAGAGCGCCCAGGACCCACCCCGTGCAGGACCGTGGGTCAGTGTCTTGCAGAGGTCCTGGCCTTGCCCCAGGTCAGTCCCCAGCGGTCAGTGTGCCCAGACTCAGTCAGGCAGCTGAGGCCGGGTCTGTCCTCTCCTGCCTCCGCCAGGGAGAAGCCCTTTCTGCCAGTCCCCTGCACACCCCTCTACGTGTCCCGTTGGTGAGGACAGCTCCCCGCCCTGGCCCTGCTGCAGGAGGCAGGCAGGGAGAGAGTGGCGTCTCGGAGGCTCTGCTGGCTGGGACAGCGGCTGGGACAGCAGCGGGGATGGCCAGCAGCAGGCGCTGGCGCAGGGGAGCAGCCACCGTGCTGGGTGGACACCAGGACACAGCGGGCGAGGCAGGGAGAGGGCTGAGCAGGCTCTGCCTGTCTCTGCTCAGTGGGAACGAGGTCACCCACTCAGCACACGAGGACAGATGTGGAGGGAAGCAATGGAGACTGAGGGCTGAGCCCGTCAGGAGGGGAAGGGGGTGAGGCAGCCGGGGGCGACGGCCCGGCCACTCTGAGGACGCGCTAGGGCCGGTCTGTGACTGTCTGATCCACCAGCCCCGGCCTCGGGCCACACAGCGTCCTTCAGTGTGAGCGGAGCAGTGCAGAGTTGGAGGGCACATGTCAGGTTTTAGGGACGAAGGCAAGACGACAGCTCTTGGGAGCGCGTGATGGCAGTGCTGGGTCCTGTCGTTTAGCTGCCTGTCGTGGTGTCCAGAGCGTGGAAAGGCTGTCATCGAGGTGACAGCGTGGGGGACACGGTGCTTCGAGGCTGCGGTCAGAGGGTGGTGCCCGAGCCCGGACGTGGTCTGGAGGGGACACAGGGGTGGGGTCGAGGGGGCGGGGGCTGGCAGAGAGGAAGTGAGACATGAGAGTCCGTGGATCTCGCTCCCAGGTGCTGGGGCCCCACCCCACCTGGACACAAAGGAGGTCCTCCTCCTGGGCATGGAAAGAAGGTGCTGGAAGCAATGTGTTTGGCCAACTTCATGGGCCGCTAGGGAATGGATGGCTTATCACAATACTAAGAAAGTATCAAACTCTACAGATGTCAAGGTCTTTCTTACGGTCGTGGGGGCAGCAAAGTGGACGGTCTGTGACCTGCTACTCCTTCTCCCCCGGCTGAGAGTCTTTACAAACAAAAGCTTTGTCACCTGGCGGGGCACTCCGTTTGTCACCCCAGGACTGTGCTCCGGAACGTGCCGCCAGACAGGCCGCGGCAGGTGGCAGACGGGCGACGCCGAGGAGGGTTCTGCCTCCGCTCTGGGGAAGCAGCACCGCAACCCTCTGTCCTGGGCTCTTCCAGGGCCGCAGGGTGGAGGAGGGCATGTCCAACAACAGCACCATCAGCATCTCGCAGGCCCGCAAGGCCGTGGAGCAGCTCAAGATGGAGGCGTGCATGGACCGGGTGAAGGTAAGCGCCACTGGCTGCCCCGCGGCCCAGGCCCCGCCCACAACAGTCCCCCACCCCAAGGTCCCCTAGCTGAGCTTGGCAGCCGAGTGTGCCCAGGGGTCCAGGTGATGCACAGCGGGCGCGAGCGCTGGGAGGGGCCCCTGGGAGTAAGCCCAGTCCTCGCAGCTCTGTTGTCGTGCCCGCAGCGAGGAGTCCCACAAGGACATCAGCCATAGTTTTATCCAGTGACTCTGCGGTTAGCCAGTACCGGCTGGTGTGACAGGGGCGCCTTGGGCAGTGAAGCTTTGAGCCATGCACTGTGCGAGTCAAATGTGCCTTCGGGGAAAGTGCAGGAAGGGGCCGGCCCGCTCCAGCCCTGCCCATCTTGCGGGCGAGTGTAGTGGGAGGGCGGAAGCCAGAGGAAGCCGCCTCCTCTCCAGATGCCACTTGGAGGCAGGCAGGAGGCTCTGAGACTCCGCTTAGGTTCCTTGGCTGTGACGGGATGAGAGCCTGTGACCAGGCTCCCTGTTTCTGTGGGCACAAAAGCAGGGGCTGCCGGGCCTCTGAGTCACAACAGACCGAGGCCCCGGCGCCCTGGGCGGCTCCTGAAGCCTCTGCCGGCCCGCGGGCAGTCCCTCCTGCAGCCCCCTCGCCGCCGAGACCTCCCCTCACGCGCCAGAGTGCGTGCTCCCCTCGTGCTCTGGGGCCTGGGAGCCCGCTCCGGCCGCCGCAGGACAGCCGCCGCCCTCCCTGGGGCTCCGGGCGCCCTGTCCCAGGAGGCGGGAGCCACGCGCAGAAGGTGACATGACCGCGGAGGAGTCTCGGGAGGGACGCAGGATGCAGCGCTGTGCGGCCATCACCACAGTCCGTCCCCAGAACTTTCTCATTGTGCCAGACAAACTCTCCTCATTTGACACAAGCTCTCCTCCCCCTCCCAGCCGCCCCCCACCGCACACAACCCCTGTCGAGCGTCTGCCTCTGTGGGTTGGCCTGCTCCAGGTACCTCATTCATGCAGGTGGAATCACGCAGTGTTTGTCCTTTCACGTCTGCTTCGTTTCGCTCGATATATGTCCCCAAGATTCATTCGGGTAGAGTCAGAATTTCATTCCGTCTATGGCTGAAGAACAGTCCATTGTACCGATACCCACATTTCATTTACCAGTTCACCTGTTGGTGGACATTGGCTTGTTTCCACCTCCTGGCTCTCATCAGCAGTGCTGCTGTGAACACGCGTGTGCAGGGGTTCGCGCCCCTTCTTTCCGTTCTCCGGGGTGTGGCCCTGCGGTGGAATTGCTGGGCCGCATGGGAAGTCAGCTTTTTGAGGAAACTGTATTTGTTTCCAGAGAGGCCGCAGCATTTCACTCTCCCCACAGCGGTGGGCGAGGGTTGTTTCTCCACATCTGCACCAACATCTGTAAACTGCCATGTGGGCCTGACATTCACACGTGACTTCAGGCACTAGACGCGCCTCACTTCAGGGCTCCGTGGCTTTGGTGGGAAATCTGCTTGGTGCAACTCCTGGCAGCAAAAAAGAGCATGTTGGTGTCAATTAGCCGGACAAAAAAGACAGGTTGCAGGAAGAGAGGGAGCCTTCAAGGACACTCCACATTGACCTTGCTAAGGACCTTGAGGAGAAGAGTCATGACGTGGGGTGGGGGGGGGGGACAGAAGCCAGCTTTCTAGGTGGGTGAGAGGTCACTGCAGGGGAGGAGGAAGAAGGGAGCCTGGAGGGTGGATGGCAGAGGGAAGCCGCCCTGAGGAGGCGAGGAGGAGCCGTCCGCACCCTGACGGGGTGTCGGGTCCAGGCGAAGGGAGGAGAGGACAGGCCGACTGTGTGGGAGCCGCAGGAAGGGAACTGGGCCTGGGGCCCTGGCGGGGGGCCCCGGGCTGCAGGGGAACAGCTGGAGGCCTTGGGAAAAGCCAGTGCAGATAGTCCCACAGAGCTGGCTCCCAGGTGGACGTGCCACAGGCGGGGGCCCGGAGGACAGCCCAGTGACAGCAGGCACATGCACAGACGCAGAAAGGGGACCCACAGCCAGCGTGTGTGCGCGCCGTGTGTGCGGTGTGTGCGCGCCGTGTGTGCGGCCACCTGCAGAGTCCCGTCTGGGCTCCATGGCCTCTGGAGGAGTGTCTGCGGGGAGGAGGGGAGATGGAAGGAAGGAAGGAAGGGAGGGAGGGAGGGGGAGAGGGGGGGGGGGGGGAGGGAGGGAGGGGGGAAGGGGGGAGGAGGGGGGGAGGGGAGGAAGGAAGGAGGGAGGGAGGGAGGGTGTTCTCAGCTCAAGAGACTGAAAGATCAGCTAATGCAAAGAGAAGGAAAAGATAAATTACATTAAGCAGTTATTTGGGTTGAAAAGGTAATAAAAAGTACTAGTGTGAACTCAGAGAGGTCTGAGCAGTTCATAGAGAAAAAATGTATTCAAAATACCCACTATTATCCTGAGGTCCTGTTTGTCCCCCTCAAAACATTGTTTGCACAAAAGCACTAGTGCCGATGTAGACTTTGTTCCAGATGCTCTGGGGGCGTAGAAGGGAGGGAGCCTTTGCGGCCCGGGACCCACGGCCAGCCCCCGCCCCCAGCCGGGCTGAGACCCGGCACGCGCAGCCCTCATCGCCTGCATGCCGCGTTCTCCTCGCCACCCCCGCCCGCCCCTCCCCCAGGGCCCGCCCGCTCTCTCCGCAACGCCAGGGCTCTGCTCCATCCTGCCCGGAAGCTCACCGGGCGTCTCCCAACAAAGGTGGGTGCTCCTCTTTGAGAACCCGTGTCAGCCACTAAGCTGTAAACGTCATCAATGTTACCATAGGCACAAGGGGCGTCCAGCACCTACGCCTGCGTGGCTTCGCGAAAGCAGACGCTCAGACGATAATGCTCAGGGTCCAAGTAAGTCAGTAAATAACTAAATAAATACAAGCGAGCGCACGGAAAAGATGACTGTTTCAGAATGTCTTTAGGGCTTCGGGGAGAGAGCGCCCGGAGCCGTGACGGGCTCGTTTCCTCGCTCCCTGGGGACGCAAGCAGCACGCGGCCCTGCCACGGGGACCGCACGTGACTTCGATCGCAACGTGGGCAGCACCTGTGTAGCAGTCACGGCGGGTACAAGCTGAGCGGCGCGTGGGAGGCTTCCGTGGAGAGCGGGCTCCAGCCCAGGCCTGTGCAGGCTGCGGGGAGTCCAGCTGCGGGGCCGGCCTGGGCCCCCCCGGAGGGGCATGGGCCGAGCGCGGGCCGCGGCCTGGGCTCCCGCGGCGCCTCTGGGAGCCGCCTCTCCGTTTGGAACCCCTGAGGGCGCCTGGTGTTCCTGCCCCAGGGGAGAGGGCAGTTGCTGGGTGGGGTCAATCCCGCGTGAGCGCTGGACGTGGTCGGATGCCTTCCGCACACCCGTGGCTCTCGGCCAGTGACCTGCAAACAGCTGCCAGACCTGCCGGGGCGGGGAGCGGAGCGGTGGAGGGGGCCAGGCCCCGCCACTGCGGGAACGTCTGCGGGATGTGCTCCCCACCTGAAAAGGGCTGCCTTGAGGCTGCGCTGTGTCAGCACAGGCCTTGTCGCGGACTGTTGGCCGGCAGACGGAGCTGCGCTGTCTGCCTGAGGGCGCGACGGGCCGGTGCGGCGGGGACGGCCCGAGGCGTCGGCCCGAGGCCGGTGCTGGCCGGCGGGGACACCCGGACCAGAGCGATGTCAGGACAAATCATGACGGTCCTCCGTCAAAGGTAGGAAAGTGTGGAGAAAACAGTTTGAAAAAGGGGAAGAGCTTTATGGGGGGGAAAGGAGTATTCCACTTAGGTTTTGACACTGAGGTGTTAGCCTCTGGTGCTCCAGAGAGAAGAGAGTAATACATGGTCAGCAGTATTTTAGACGGGGAACACAGGGCCCAAAAACTGAATGCCCAGGTGTTCGAGCTCTTTCTTACATACACGCTGCCTAACTCGGCGGAGGTTCCTTTTTCACACCGCGAGCGCGAGGGCGTCCGTCACATTCGCAGGCGCGCGCGCTCCGCGGGGGAGACCTGCCGGCCGCGCAGCGAGGCTGTGCAGACACAGGTCTGCCTCCGGGGCTTTCGCTCTCGTTTGGAGAATAATGCTCTTTCTCTGTTCATAAAAATGGTAGTTATTTTAGAAAATGTTGGAAAACATAGAAAAGTATAAAAAGAAAATTTAAATGATCTGTAACTAGTATATTTTCATGTTTTTCCATTTAGCTGTTTACCTGCTTTTCTTTTTACAAAATTGTGGTTATAATGTACATTTATCACTTTTTGTAAACAGATTTATCATTGAGCAGTACATTGTGATTATATACCCAGGCCACTAAGTATTTTCCTAAAAGGTCATTTTTTAGTATCTCTTTACTCCATCATCTGATGTATTGTACAATAGCTTATTTAACTGGTCTCCTATTCTTGGGTATTTCATTATTTCCAAGTTTTCAGTATTTTTTTTTTTTAAGTACAACAGTGAACACACTGGTAGATAAAACTTGCCCACTCCTGATTGTTCCTTTAAGATAAATTTCCACAGACTGAAAATTGCTTGGTCAAAGGATGTATTATATTCTGAAGTACTTGAATCAGTATCAGATTTCTCTATGAAAAGAGATACCAGCTCATTCTTGCATCAGCAATGTGAGAGATTGTCCCCCCCAACTCTGCCCAGGGCCGTTTTTTTAAGCCATTTCAACTTGACAGATAATAGATAATAATAAAGTAGTAAGAATGAGCAACATTTATTAAGTGCTTACTATCTGCTGTTCTGAAAACTTTATATTAAATGTGCTTAGTTCTCGCAACAGTTCCGTATGTAGCTGTTACTAACACACCCACTTCACAGAGGAGACTGAGGTCTGCAGAGACTGAGCAACTTGCCCAGGACCAGGCAGCTGGAAAGTGGTGGAAGCACAGGGACAGGGACCCAGGGCTCCCGGCTCCTGGCACCTCGCTGCTACCTTTCTGTCCCTCCTTTTCCTGATTGTTGATACCTTATTATTTCAACATGTATTTCATTGACTCTTACTGTGGTTAAACTAACTTCA